TAACCTCCCAATATATAACCTCTTTACACGGCTAGGTTCCAGCAGCAGCACATGACCGGAGTATACCATGGTTGAGATATTGTTCAAGTTCAGGCGAGAACCATATTTGACGGTAACCAGCCCTGGAAACGAGTGAATGAAATGGTTTCTCCAACCATATGTACATACATGGTTGGTTTCAACGATGGTGACGATGGTAGTGCGGTAGGTGTGAGTGGCTCGTTGTCCATGGGTCATCGCAGTACCATGGAAGCCATGCAATCGAAACACAACTTTACATCAGCACCACATGATGAGAAAAACTGAACGTGTTTGCCTAATGTACTTGCCCCGCTTTCGAGGTTACCGCAGTGAGGTGAAAGCAAAAACACGTGTCGCGAGGTCCGTGCCCACGACACTGCAGACGCGCCTTCTTCTCTCTGTTCTCTGCTCTTTACAGATTTCTAACGTTACCCACACCCGATCGCGCTATCTCGACCGCCCGCCATGAACCGTCTCTCAACTGAGATAGACGAGAATATCGCAAAGCGTCTCGACAAGAAAGATCTGTCGGCCCTTCTGAAGACTTCGAGATATCATCGCACGATAGCAGAACCATACCTGTACGGCGAACTCACCTTCTCGGACCAACAGCATGCTAGGATAAGCCTACTTTTCAATACCATATTCGATCATCGAGAGTTGGCGGGGCGTATTCGTTCGTTCACTTTGACCGACAAGGAGCACACGAACACTTTTCCGAGCACCCACAGCTCTACGTCACTCTGGCCGAAGCTGGCTGAGGTGAAACTTCTACTCGAAGAGTTTGTTCCTTTGTCGTCGTCGTCGTCGTCGTCGTCGTCGAGGCTTCTAGCAAAGCGATGGCTCCAACAATTGTTGGCTTATGCGCCGGTCATCGACGGCAAAGTCGCGATGATCATTTGTCTTGCGAAAGAGATAAATGATATCACCCTCAGTACCAGGCTGCTAGAGATGCCAATAACGCGTATCGTCATCGGTTGGCCATGGATCCAACTGGACGCTATTGCAGAGGAGGATCATTTGACCCCACCAACCTTGGAAATATATGATTCGAGTACCTACCTAACTCAACTCTATGATCCTTTTAGTCGACATTCTTCTCCCCCTTTAACAGACGCTACCGACAACGAAAAGAAAGAAGGTGAACAGGCTATCCAGAGGCGTGACAAATACCACATGAAGCAATTGGACGACCGCAATGCTCCTTATCCGTTCCACAAGTTGGAGAGGTTAAGTATTCATGACCCAAAAGGTCTCGCCAGCTACAAAAGCATCCATTGGTGCCGGTACCCTAGACGGCTGTTTTATAGCTTCAAGTCACTTTGCAGCTTGACCACCCTCACTATAGACGATGAGCTTATCGACTTGAACTATCGAAGTCTACTCATCCACATACTCACTTCACGAGTGCTCCCAACCAGCTTGCAGTCATTGAGCATTACCAGCATCTGCTGTGTGCGACTCGCACAACTATGCAGAAAGCACACAACAGGTGAAGAGCAAGATGCGGCTACAAAGCGCATCGTCAACGCAGTGACAGCTTTACGACTTGAAAGCCTCGAGTTACACACTAAGGCGGCGTGGCATATGCTTTGGGCCGATTATATGACGGAGCGAGATGAGTCGATTCATAGATTCGTCCCTGGCATGATTGATGCTTTGAGTCGCTGTGGAACTACTATGCGCGTTTGGCATCAGGGCGTTTCGGGACAGACCCTATGGTACGAGCCCGGTTTTGCGGTAGCGAAACAAGACTGGGACTGAACTTTGACCTCAGGAGCTGGTCAGCATTCTAGCTTTGAGTTGCCTAGACAGTTTGTCGCGCCTGTGCTCGATACTGCTACTGTCGAGGACTGCATGTCACAAGAGAATGGAAATGGTGAGGCTCGTAAAAGGGAGAGAGCAGTATGTAGACAGCGAAGATGTAATGTTTAATGAATCCCCTCAGGCTCTTGATAGATCGTGGGTAAGGAAGAGTTATAATTTGCAATTTTCCGCTGCGACTTTCTCTCCGATGCAATGTGATCATGAGAGACATACATTTGGTAACTACGTCATTGACACTAGGATCTCACGGGGCGGCGATCTCCGTGCCTCGGTCATAGCGGGGTTAACTTTCTTGGGCTGAGCTGCGAAGTGGCTAACATACGCGTCAACGTCACCAGTGTAGTACATTGTAGCATCACCTCCAACGCCATGGAAGAATACAAAGCAAAATATGCCATACACGAGGCCTGCCGAGAGGGCCAAGGTATTTATAATCCATAACTTTCCCCCAGCCAACCAACTCTAACAACCCCAGCATCCCGCGTCGACTCCCTCCTCGCCGCAAACCCCAAACTCGCAAACCTCCGCGACCCAGACGACCGTCTCCCCATTCACTGGGCAGTATCCTACAACCACCTCCCTATCGTTCAAACTCTCGTGCAAGCCAAGTCCTTCGACCCCGACGTGACAGATGGCTCCGGCTGGACGCCCCTCATGATGGCGTGTTCCCGAAAAGACGCAGAGGCCATAGTCGACTTACTGCTCTCCAAAGATGCCGAAGTAAACGCGAAGAACAATAACGGCCAAACTGCCTTGCACTTTTGCGCATCGAAAGTCAACCTCGATATTGCGCGGACATTGCTGGCACAAAAGCCGCCGGCGAGTACGCGGACAAAGGACAAGAGGGGTCAACTTCCACTACACCGAGCAGCGGCAGTGGGCAGCGTACCGATGATGAAGGCGTTGTTAGAAGCAAAGAGTCCGTTGAATGCTACCGATATGGACGGCATGACAGCGCTGCACCATGCGATGAGCGAGGGGCATGGAGACGCGGCGCTGCTACTGTTGACCATGGGCGCGGAGCACGATAAGAAGGACAATGATGGCAATCTACCGCTGGATCTCGCGCCAGATGCGAAGACCAGGAGCTTCATACTGCAGGCTGCGGAGAGGGAGGGCATAGATCTGCTGTAGGGAGACGATATACTTATGATGTGTAATGTTGCATTTACGGAGTCTATACGATACCCAGGGTCATGGCGCATTCATCTACTATATGGATTATGGAAATGTTCGGAACGGAGTTTCTGTCTGCAAATGGTACTGGTTACTTCCGTCATGCGTAGAGCTGTCTGGTTGGTTGGGATGGCACTAGCTCATGATCAGCCCTCCCGACCTCGACATTCTCTCCTCTTACAGCCCCTCACACCCCGCGTGTTCTGCACTTCGGACCTATTGCGCAATCGCACTCATCACCTGCATTAGCCCCCATTCTGCCGGCATGTCATCAGCAGCGGGTCTAGCGTCTACCCGCAGCGATCAGTCTACATTCAATGCTTCGAGTCTGCGCACCCGGACACGCACGGATGCCAACTGGAAACTATAACATGTATACACCTCTGTGAAGCACGCGACAAACATGCACAGATTCTGCAATCGCAATGGTAAACGAATGACGTTACTTTGGTACCTGACGCGATGCTAATCATGAGGATGATTCGCCATCATGGTGCCCGTCGTCACCCATCATGGTCTTCACTGATTAACTATATAGTATGCGTGGGACCATTTACCTATGCCGAGGCCTAGATACGTGCGGTTTACATCCCCAAGGACCTATACAGCAAGTACAACTTGAATTGCTCCTACCTCAGAAGAGCTACAAGTCGCGACCATAACGATACAGCTGCTGGTCTTCCTCCTTACCTCTCTTCAGCACCATACCCCATACAAGCATACAACCACTCTTTTATCTTGCGCTTCACATACCTTATACTATAGCACAGCATGGCAACTCTCCCCGATCCATCTCCCTATCTCAACTTCCTAATTTCGCCACGAATTCCTCCTGAGCTCGTCTTGAAGACGATCCAACACCTCCCTTTCAACGACGGCACGCTCATAACCGCAATACGTTCTGCTCATCCCCGTCTCTGCGCCATCTTCAAAAACTACGAAAAATCTATTACAGGCAGCTTTATGCGCAAGGAGCTACGGCACGCGGAAACCGATTTCAGTCGCCAAGATGGAAGATTAAACGTCGACTGGCTAGCGGACTGTGTGAGCAAGTACGACATTGTAGACGATGTCATGGACGCCCTCTGCTCCGAACACAACTTCAATGCCGTTCTCCGACATAACATAAGCCTTGCGAACGCAGGGTTACTGCTATTATACAAGCTCGTATCGATTGGTCAGTCACACATATTCCACTCCACAAACCTTGTCTTTCGTAACCAACTCTCAACTAACACGCGGTCATCTCGTTAGCATCCCACACAGATCGACTCACATACATCAAGAGTCTGCCCCAGGATCCGCTCACAGCAATCTACCTCATCCTCCACCACGCCACCCTTTCCGCCCGCTACCACGGCTCCGGCTGGATAAACCAACGCACGTACGGCCGCTTCATGGACGCCAACCAAGTCTCGCTGCGCTGCGAGTTGGAATTCTGTTTTGCCGAAGCCGCCTTAGTTCTCGGTCCCGAGTTCATTTCGGACAGCTTGCTGCACCACGATACGGGTGATGCGGAGACTGTGCTGCTCAACTTTTATGTCGACCACGGGACGCATGACTGGGCGTGGCCTTGTTGGGGGGACGGCAAGGGCGAATTTGAACCGCCGAGAGCGCATGGACCTCAGCGGGAGCCGGGCAAGGGGAGGAGCCTTTTTACGACGCTGTTGGAGAGGTTGGCAGAGTGCATGGGGTGTGGGTTGGGGGATGTGAGGACGAGGGTTGAACGGGAATTGGAAACTCGGGATCACTCGCTCGCGTATCTGAGTTTGGCGGGCAAGGCAAGGTTGCTGGAGGGAAGGAATGTTTGAGGATGGGGATGGGAAGGTAGGGCGTCAGATTTGAGTTTGAATCTTGCATTTTCCATGTTTGCATACGAAAACGGTCATTTCTAGCAGACTTGTATACCCAATTAGCCCATCATATAGCCACTTATGACGCTATGCAATGTTTAAATTTTCACCATTTCAAAGCGCTGCATAAACATCCGTTCTCCTGTTCAAGGGCGAGTCCTTGCGTAACTGGTTCACAAAATCAAGATCAATCTCAGCCGTCGCAATCTCACCCTCATCCTTCCAACTGCCTCCCTCGCCCTCATCACCCCCTAGCTCTGCAACAATCTTCCCCCACGGATCCACAATCATACTGTGTCCCCAACTGCGCCTCTTGCCCTCTTCATCATGCACACCCACCTGCGCAGCTGCAATGATGTAGCTCTGCGTCTCAATCGCACGGGCTCTGATGAGAATCTCCCAATGTCCTGCTTTGCCCGTGGGAGTGGTAAAAGCAGCGGGGTACAGAAGAACTTGTGCGCCCCGCGAGCGCAGTGCGAGACCAGGTTCTGGGAATCGCAGGTCGAAGCAGATTTGCATGCCGAGTTTGCCTATGGGACTGTCGAATGGATCGCCTAGATGTACGCCGCGTTCTACTCCTGCAGACTCTTGCATTTGAGGGCCGTCTTTGACGTCCATGTCGAAAAGGTGGAGTTTTTGGTAGCGGTATCTGATCTCGCCATCAGAAGTGATCCAAATTAGGGTGTTTTTGACTTTCTTTCCATCGTCTGTGGGCTCGTGGATGCCGACGGATATGGGTAGAGAGTATTGTTTTGCGGATTCTTGGAGCCCGAGTACGAATTCGGAATCTTGGACAGATTTGCAGAGCTTGAGTCCGCCAGATGTGGTTAGGTAGTCTGCTGCTTCGGGGAGGAAGAGGGCGGCTGCGCCTGCCTTGTGGGCTTTTTGGCAGAGTTCTTGGGCTTGCTTGAGGTTCTCGGCCATGGAGGCCATTGAACGCATCTGTCCGACGGCCTGGTAATGGTTAGTGTTGGTAATTTATAAGTCATCTTGAAAACACGATTCGAGAAACGGTACATGTGAAGGATAAGAAGATGATACTAGACTGGAGAATAACTTACAGCGAGAGGCATCTTGAAGGTAATGGTGGATGGTTGTGTGTGGCGGAAAAGATGGACGAAATGAAGCTATCTGTGTACTTATACGACGACTACCAGGCAGAACTAAAGAAATGTTATCGTCGTCGTCAGAGACGGCAGAAGCGATGCCACTAGGGAGACTAGTTCAAATCGAGTAGCCATCGTAAGATGCAAGTGCATCTGAATTTGCATGTCTAAAAAAGCATAACGCATGTACCCGCCATGCCAAAGTGAAGATATGGCATACCTCGATTCACATGCGGAAGCGATGGCCGGGACCCAAGTCCCCTGCATAAGTTGTGGTGGTGGGAATTGCGTCAGGGCGGAGTTGCGGCAGAGCGGAAGGCTAGCCAATCGGCGTTTGTCTGGCTACGTGCTACGGCATCCGTCATGCTGAGGGCTTGCGCGGCAGGAATCGTGAGGACACGAATACGACGGGGGCTATTTCGCTTACACGGGCATCGTCTAGCTGCGACAAGCAATTTCGAGTCTCGGACATCGACTGCATTCCACGCATGGTGGTGGTTATTGTTGTTGTTGCGAAAGTCTTAGCCTGCAACTCCCCGCGAAACCTTAGCTGACCGCGTACCACGTCCAACAGACCAACCTGGCCTTATGCGCAATTGAGCTATGAACAAACACAGGCGGAGAACGAGTGCACGGTGAAAGCTAGCCAAGCTCCACAGACGAGGAACAGAGTCGCCACACGCAACAAGGCTGTAACGGCACGATGAGTGGGAAGAACTGGTGGAACAGCGCCATCTCGGGCTTGGAGTCGCGACTCGACACGATACTGGCCGAGGATGGCACCCCAAAGCCAGCAGGCGCGGGCCCGGATGCAGCCGCCAGAACGGAAGGCGCAGACAAGGCGGCGACGGACAAGAAGCTTGCAGTTGAGCCAGGTGGGTAGCCTTGTCAGAGACATGATACCATAGCCCTTCGCAAGGCTAACAGCATAGAAGCCTCGCGCAACTCGTCACGAAGCCGACCCAACTCCCGCCTCCAGGACCGTCTAGCCAAGGCCGTGAATAAGGGATCTGAAGCAAGAACCTCGTCGGATCTGGGGTCGAGACCAGCAAGTCCTGCTGTAAATGCCGTCACCGCATCGCCGAGGGCAAGCATAGATTCAAAGGCGCCTGAGCCAGTGACGGAAGTTGTACCGTCCAAGGAAGAAGCTACCACAGTGAAAGAAGATGAGGCGACCAAGTCAGATGGCAGTAAGGCCGGGGAGCCTTCACAGACACCACAACCCGCTGTAGAAGCACCTGCGCCCATAGTCTCTCCCCCAGCGACTTCACCACCACCTACACCTCTGGTAGCCGAACAACCAAAATCGACGCCTGTTCCCACCATGTCCATGCCCTCGATACCCTCCATTGTCACCCCACAGACATCCTCCCCACGCCAGTCTTTCGACAGCGACCCGTCGCGACCCTCTGTCGACGCCATTACCCCAACACCGCCTCCCGAAGCCAAAGACCCCGAAGAAATACAAGTCGAGCTATCTCTACTCCAGAACACATACCAAGAGACGTTAAAGGACAACCGCGAGGAGCTCAACGCACACCTAGAGCGAATCGATGCTCTACAGTCCAAATTGACATACATGTCTGAGCAACTCGCTGCATCTGCCAAGGCTGCCAAGTCTGACTCTGGAGCAACACCGGTGGACAAGAAGCTGGCAGACAAGGATGCGCAGATCGCTGCACTCATGGAAGAGGGCCAGAAGCTCTCAAAGACGGAGATGAAGCATCTCACCACTATCAAGAAGATGCGCGCCAAGGCTTTGGAACAGGACAAGGAAATTGCGACTCTCAAGCAGCGATTGACCAAGGCGGAGAAAAGCATCACTGATCAGTCGGAAAGGGCACGGCGCGCAGAGGCGGCGGAAAAGTCTGCGCAGGAAAAGCTGAAAATTGTAGGCAGGATCGAAAAGGATATCGAGACTATTAGAGCAGAGCGCGAGGAAGCTGGACTTACAATATCCGAGTTGCGGAAACAACTCAGCGATGCGCTCTCACGGGCAGAAGATGCCGAAAAGAGGGTTCAGTCTGGCGCGCTGGAAGCAGAGAAGAGGGCCACTGCGTCGCTGAAGGAGGACATTGAGAACGTGCGGATAGAGAAGAAGCTTGCCGAAGACCGTGCGAAGAGAGAACTTCAAGCGGCCAGAGATGAAGCAAAGAGCCAACAGGAGAAGGCAAAGGTCGCCGAGCTGGAACTGCGTGGCGAGATTGCTGTAAGTGATGACGAACCTTTGCAAATGCATGTACACTGACATGGGATTCAGAATCTAGAATCTAAGCTAGAATTGCTCCGCAGCCGCACAGAAGAGGCATCTTCATCAGCGACTGGCGATTCACAGGCCAAGCTTCTGCGACAGATCGAGACGTTGCAGACTCAGTACTCGTTAGCTTCCGAGAACTGGCAAGGTATTGAGACCACTTTGACATCTCGCGTCGCGGCTCTTGAGAAGGACCGAGACGAAACGGCGAAGCGCGAATCTGACGTCAGGCGGAAAGCAAGAGACGTCAACTCAAAAGCACGTCGACTGGAAGACGAGCTCGAGAGCATCAACGAGCGAGCCCGAGCATTCGAGCACGACCTGACCGAGCAGCGTGCTGCAGCCCAAAAGCTGCAAGCTAGGCTCACGCAAGCAGAGTCTGCCGCACAAGATGCACAGGCAGAACTCGAGCGAGAGAAGAAGGTCTGGGAGGCTGAGCTCCAACAACGAATAGAAGACGAGAAGAACAAGTGGAAGGTGGAAATACAGACACCATCTCTAATGGGCGAATCTCAATACCTGCGGACAGACTCACCCTCTATAGCCCAACGAAGGCATTCGCCCGATCCACTTGGTATCTACAACCGCCGCCCAAACCCACGTTCCATCACCAGCGGCATGGACCTACCCATGATGTCCCCCATGGACCGCATGTTTGACGAAGCCTCACGCCGCCCCTCGAGCTCCCGCCACAACAAGTCCAACAAAGTCCGCACCCCGGAAATCGGGACCCCTCAACGACAAGACTCGATTCCGTCCAGCATGTCGAACCTCGCCGGAGGAGGAGTCCCAGACACACCCTCGATCCACACAATCGACCACGACAACGACCCCTTTGAAAACACATCCTCGCCGCACCGCACCATCAACGACATGATATCCGTTTCCACCGCCGGCGCCGGCCCCTCGGTCCAACTCGTAGAGCGCATGTCCGCCGCAGTCCGCCGTCTGGAATCAGAAAAAGCAACACACAAAGAGGAGCTCGCGCGCCTCACCGCGCAGCGCGACGAGGCGAGGGAAGAAGTCGTAGCACTCATGCGCGAAGTCGACGAGGCGCGCAAAAACGGTGACAGGGTCGCTGATCTCGAGAAGCGCATGGATGAGATGCAGGTTAGAGAGGAGGCGGCCTTGGATATGTTGGGCGAGAAGACGGAGAGGGTCGAGGAGCTAGAGGGCGATGTGAGGGATTTGAAGAAGATTTATAGGGAGTTGGTTGATACGCTCAAGTAGTGTTGGGGTATGTATGGGTGGGTGGTAACAGCATTAGCATGGCATGGCATGGCGTGGCACTACTGTGGGGTGCTTTGGAAATGTCCAATGGTCATATCATGATATACTCTTAAGTGTTTTCTTATCAAGGCCTTAAGAGATTCGCATTTCAGTTGATTTGATGGACGTGCTGGATAAGGTCTTAAGAAATTCACCTTTCGTTCGTCTGTATTTGAATACCATCTGGAAGTGTCGTTACTCGCCAAACTCACAATGCCACGTGATGATTACTGCAGCCTTGAGCGTTCCTGCCCCACTCCCTTTCGCAGCGCTTACCCACTCTCATCTCACCTTCTCCGTCAATAGAGAACTATCGCAACCTCTCTGTATACCCCTTCCTCAATAGCATTGCTTGCTATTTGTAATTCCGTACAATCTCGTTCGATGCGTCTTTTACGCCTCGACGATGACAAGGACCTCAGCCTCGTCGAGCATTACGAGGGTGATATACCACCATACGCCATTCTCTCACATACATGGGGCGCGGATAGCGATGAGGTCACTTATCTCGATGTAGTGAATATGGCGAATCCCCATAAACTGGGATGGAACAAGATCCACGCGTGCGCGAAGCAGGCCAAAAGAGATAAGCTCCAGTACATCTGGGTGGATACATGTTGCAGGTCAGTTTACAAAATATACATGACAGGTTCGTATCACTGACATCAAAACAGTGAGTAGCTCTACTTTCGGCACAAGACAATTCATGGCAAAATCATCCTTCGTATATTCGCTAACGTGATCTTGGCTTGTGATAGTCGATAAGTCTAGCAGTGCTGAGTTAACAGAGTCGATCAACTCAATGTATAATTGGTACAGGCAAGCAAAGGTCTGCTATGTTGCCCTGGAAGATCTCCCTGCCCATGTGGGACTGGAGGATCAAATTGCCAAATGCCGTTGGTTCACTAGAGGTAAGAGATGTCTCTTTACGGACTGAATATGACATATATACTGACCTTGTATACCTAAATGTTAGGTTGGACATTACAGGAACTACTTGCTCCATCGAACGTAGAATTCTACGATCAAGATTGGACGTTCAGGGGGAGAAGGAAGGACCACACCGACACTATATCCAAGTTCACCTCAATTCCTACTAAGGTCTTACTCAAGCCAAAAGCGATATACAAGGAGTCTGTTGGTGCACGGATGTCCTGGGCTTCCAAGCGAGTCACCAAACGTACTGAAGATATGGCGTACTGTCTTCTTGGTATCTTCGAGATCAATATGCCATTAATATATGGAGAGGGCAAAAGAGCGTTCCTACGTCTTCAAGAAGAAATTATCAAGCGCAGTAACGATCTCACTATACTAGGATGGGACAATGTTGTTATGCCGCGCACCAAAAAGTGGGACAGTCTTGTTGAAGTCTTTGCTACTTCTCCAGCTGCCTTCGCACGCAGTGCTGATCTCCAAAAGACCTCTTCAGGGTTAGGACCTGAGTTCTCCATCACAAATCGAGGTCTTCTGCTCACTGGGGACTTCAAATTATTCTATCGATCATCGCGCCAGGAGCCGGAAATGTCGACTTACGTCCTTCAAATTGCGACTACGGACGACTCCGCGACTCGTGAGATTGGCCTTCGAAAGCTAGCACCGCGTCTGTATGGTCGTTTACGAAGGCTCCCTCGGTTGGAGGATCACAATGCGTCCTCTAGCTCTGACGATAGTGACTACATAACCGAGACACGAACATATGAAGATACGATCTATATAAGAACTGACTTCCATCATACCGATGATTTCACTCACCTTGCTGCTTCCCGGAAGAATGCTTTGCATATTCCCAAGCAAAAATATCTCGAGATCCTTCGAGTAACTCCGCAATGGTTGTGGGATCACTCGGACGCCGTGTTCCTACAGACGAGACTAGACGCTCTCGGTCATCCATACTACTCCTCCGTAGTAGCTGTTCAGTTCGAGCTCCGGCTTGGAAGTCGCAGTAACAATATATTTGTGGTCTATAAAAGCGGGGTCGCGCAACCAGTTCTCCATGTTTTCAGCTCTCTCCTGATGGTGGAATATACGCTAATCAGGATGAAACTTTTTCCAAATGCTTTGGGTAGCGTCGGCAATATAGACCCTAAGAAGGACATGTCGTGGGAGGATATGAAAAGAGAAATACCGTGGGTCTTGGAGAAGGGCGACACGACCGAAGTATCTGATGAGGAATTCAGATACAACATCAAGTTCTTTTTGAAGTCTGACCATCTCGGCCCCCACAAGATTCGAGTCATAAGCCTCAAGGCGTCTATCACTAAGGGTGAACCTCTTGGTTTATAGATGGGATGGATTGATTTTACGGATGATTTGGCTATATAGGCAGTAATTAGTGGTTGTGGCAGGTACCAATAACAACATAGGATGGCTCTTTCCTCAAACCTGGGGGTTGTTACTACACAAAAGTGAGTGAACTGTAGTTTAACGTTCTCACTCTTGTATCAAATATTAACGTCAGGCTTCAGCGTCTATAATGTCATTCCTCAACTACCAAGTTATTCGCTAGGAACACACCTCTGAGATCAAGTCGATAGCCACCATGAAATCGATTCTGCAACGAGCGACACAGATTCAATGGATAATACCAAAGCTGTGCAAGATGATCAAACACACTAGATATGGTCTGAGGTCCAGTAGTGGCATATTTGGTATCTTCTATCTACACGCTGTACTCGCAATGTTATGTACGTGGTCAACACTATCAACCTTGACAACACCTTTTGAAAAAAACAGCTAATCCTCTGCATATTTCAGCTCCAAAACGCCTGAACTGTCCAACTCTAATCTGTGTTCTCTCCGCTCATGCAGAATCATCATTTGTTCTCCGATCGATCCCGTATTCATATGCCCAGATAGTACTTCCCCCTCTCATACGCATAAAAGCTGACAGCAGCCATCGGAACAACCTTGACATAGCCAATCGTCAGCCCCACGAAAAAGCCTTTGTATCCTCTCTCCATGTAGATTCTCCTCGTAACCTCCGGTATACTAAGCCGATGGCCATCACCAACGACACCACCAACCTGCATTCTCCGTCTTATAACTTCCAGTGGGTAAGACACTGTTTGTGAAAAGAAGCCTGCGATACCACCGCTAGTCAGTTCAGCCCAATAGCGCAATTGCGCGGGCTTGTGGCTTGAGGTGCTGGATTCTTCGCGAGAGGTATTGGGCAGTGTTGTGTAAGGAGCGAGAATGGGGATGCGCATGAGATCGGACATGGAGTCGTGGGCGAGAAACGAGGCGCCCGCATAGGGTATCATGCCGAGAAGCGTGGGTGTGAAGCCGCGGAAGAAGTTCGAAAGGCCGGAGCGCGGGGTAACGGTTTCGACGACGTGGGTTGCGGTTGCTGTGATGGGGTTCTTTGGTTGCGATATTCGTGGTGCTTGCTCGCTGTATATTTTTCGTACTATAGTTACGAGACTACTGCGGGCTTCTTCTTTTGTCTCAAAGGCGAGGCGCACGCGGATTACCTCGAGGGGGTATGTCAGGAAGACGCTCATCATGCCTGCTAAACTGCCCGAGATGAACCGTCGGCCCGGCGTTTCTTGCGCTTTGTTTTTTATTATGCGACCGCGTATTTGCTCGTAGGCGAGAAATTTGATGCCGGCATAGGGGAAAATGCGGAGGAGTGTTGCCGAGTGACCCTTGAAGAGACCACGTACTCCGGTGCTGACGTAGATGTCGCGGATTGCCGTAGGGAAACCACTCCAAGAGCCGGCGTATTTCGCGAACTGGGGGTTGCGGGTTTGGAAGAGGATTTTTACGCGGTCGAGGGGGCCTACTACCGTCTTTGCCTGTTGGGCTGTTAGTACTTGTACGTTTGATGGTTTGCTTCATGTGATGAAGTGTGTCTTGACATACAGCGCATCCGGCGAACCCTCCTGCCACTCCGCTCTTGATCAGATATTCCATGCTGTTCTTATCCGTCTTCTTCTTTCCAGAGGCCGTGGCCGCGCCGCCTTCCTTCTTCGCTGACATGGCCGTGTCATGGTCTGGTATTATGTTGCTTGCGCGATTTGTTGGCGCCGCAGTCGTCGTCATGATATTCGATTTGTTTCCGTCATAGCGGAGGAGATCCGTGGACATTCCAGAACTGAGTTGCGTGGGGTTACCGCGACATGAATTCAGTGAAATGCGATTTCCTTGGCGTTGTCGATTCGCGTGGCTACAACGAGGAACGTGGTTGAGAACGTGGAAGGGGTCGCGTGTATGGGGATTAGAAAGCAACGCCGTTGTGTGGTTTGGTGTTTGAGATGCAGCCACGGCGATGACGTTTACCGAGGCTGATCTGCTGCTTTCGGCCGGCACTTAGCCCAGATCATTTCATCCGACGCTACCCATCGGAAATGCTTCCCATGGCGCCCTCAACACCACAAGCGCATCGTGAAGTCTGCGATCAGGACCTCGTTATCGTTGATCACGTGCATGTATGAGAATATGTGGTGAATGCGTGAGTGTGGTCTTGGAAATCGCGAGCAGGAAGTAGCTGTGACGTAAGACTAGAATTGGTAGGAAATCTTCCATCATTGTCCTTTCCTTTCGATTACTTCCCGTCATGACTTCTCCAAGCCCCATCATCTATCAGAACGTGGAGGGAGACATCACGTTGATCGATATACCAACATCTATCGCAGCAGCACAAGGCGACCGCTCGGGAGTGCTGCTCTCTACTCCACCCTTGGATACTCCCATCGAACCGAAAGAAGACTATCGGCCCAGGACACAGAAGTCTAGAACGAACAAGACTCAGGCACAAGACACGACTACCACGCCGCATGCGACAGTGGCAGAAGCCTCTAACCACGACTTCCTGTCGTTGCATCTTGATGACCAACGTTACAAAGTTCTTGCTGAACATGCACTCCGCCAGATACGTGCACAGGTCTCAGGGCCGTGGTGCACACAGCGCAAGCTAATGACCCAGGAGCCAGTCCGTGGGGAACAACAGGTCATGGATGTAGACGAAATCTCCGAGAAAGAGCTCGAGGCTCGGATGAGGGAGTGGGCAGCGTCCGGCGAGACGAAAGAAGATGATACCGCATTCAACCTGCAACAGATGATGGCTTCGCTCGGCGCAACTTCCGAGGTTGCAGAACCAGCCTCTACGGCACCACAGTGGATGATGTCGTACCGCGCTGCACGTGAGACTACAAGTAGCACAACGCAGGCCGCTGAAACGGTCTCTGCGGACGCACAAACTGAACCATGGACGGGTACCTTTCACAACCCCAACCACCACTCCGTAGCACTTGCGATCGCCACAAATACGTCGCAATCTGCTCAGCCGGGTTCAGAGTATCGTTTCACAATACCACCTCGCTCCACATTCTTCCTTAGCGATTCCACTGCATCGGACGCTTTCCGTACCTCGTTTCGTGAGCTCACGAACGAATACACCCTTCCACGACACTTTGATCTAGTGCTGCTGGATCCGCCATGGCCCAATCGTTCAGCCAAGCGGAAGGGCGCATATGAGCAGGTTGGCGGCATGCCGTACCTCAAGAAAATGCTACTGAACATGGATATCGACAGTTATCTCGAGCACAATGCCCTTGTGGGCGTCTGGATCACGAACAAGCAGTCACTGAGACAACATGTGCTTGGACCTGGCGGACTCTTTGAAACGTGGAACGTGGGCTTGATCGAGGAATGGATATGGATCAAGACGACGACCAAAGGCGAGCCCATGTTCGACATTGATAGCACCATGCGCAAGCCCTATGAAATTCTGCTGCTGGGTCGTGCGGCCCCCAACTCGTGGACGACGATGGCACACGCGCCAACGGTCAAAAGGAGAGTCATCGCTGCTGTACCAGATATCCACTCGCGGAAACCGTGTCTGAAGACGTTACTCGAACCCTATCTGGTGGATTCGAATGATTACAGTGCGCTTGAGGTCTTTTCTCGGTACCTAGTCAGTAAATGGATGTCTTGGGGTAACGAGGTACTGAAATACAACTGGGATGGCTACTGGGCTCCGGCTTGAAGTGCCGTGGCCTCTGTGACGAAAGCGTTGACCTCTCTGGCACATGGTATACCGTGGTCATAGATTGCACGCGGTGACTCAGAAGAACGTACTGGTCCCCGGGGATGATGGTCCTTGGATTGCGTGACTTACTACCCGGCGACCATCAGTCAGTTCTTTCTTGGGTGGAGTGCATGTCGTCTGTTCGTTTACCCAAGACCCAAACATAGTACTTGTAGTATTCTGCAATATAATCACACAATGAAGGCACACAACTTTCAGCATGGTTTCTTATGAACGTACACGTATTTTCGCAATTTTACTTCATCCACAAGCAGAGAACGATGCACATTGCACCGCGATATCAGGTCATGTGCTAAACTCACCCTCCGTTCATGCGAATCCAAGTCAAAGCAATACCCGAGTTTCCTTACTTCCGCAATTACTGCCACGTAAGCAACACGTTCACATCACAGTCACTACATCTCTATCCCTTCCGTTCAACTTCACATGCCGAACACCATCATGCCTAAATACCCACTGATCACCAGCTCTACTTCGACTTGTAACCACGAAGACCCATTTGGTCTCCATAATGACGCAACCTCTCCATCAGCTTCTTGTTACGGAAAATGCCATTTCAAAACACTGAAAACCGGTCAAAGGTACATCAGGGTCTCGAGAAAACCCACAATATCTCCACAGCACGATATGGAGAATGAATGGAGCAAGAGGCAAAAAAGTGTGTGGACTGTGGAGGGCAGAATCCACAAGTCTTCCCCACCCCGGCTTTCCTAACTCGGTACCCCACGTCCCGTCTAAGACAATGACCGCTATATCCTCGGGGAGCGGAGCATTCTCGTCTTTGATCCATGGTAACATGAGCAGGATAACAAATGCCGAATTCATCAAGATGGATCGTAATAGCCGCTGTAAGCTTCTGGCCATGAGGCGAATTCACATGTCAAGTCGTGGTGTGGCGTGGGGATAGCCAAGCGCCCTCGTGATGAACACTGTATGCCCCGCGTGGGGTAAGGCTTATTGGAGCACCTAAAACAGTGACATATGCACGACATACATCCAGGCGGCTAGTCTTCGCCTTATCGCGTAGGCGAATGAGCGACGAGATACTGCCACGCGAGGGCACTCGGGGTGGTAGGAAGAAGAGGAGAATTACCACGAAGCGCCACTGTCGCGGCGAAAGAAGTTGAACGAGGCAGACAATGACCGATCAAGCTACTAGCGAATCGTATGCGTGGTCAAATAGACATGTAATAAACTTGATTTACCGTGTAGGCGCTAACAAGAGAAGAAAGTGGAGGAATGGAAGGCAGTAGCCCTTCTTATGACTCCTCGGGGCAACAACTGGGCATAGCCCTGCTTGCTCGCAGTTATTGTCCATCTGACAGCCTTCAAGCTCGACTCCGACAGCGGAAGTCAAAGGATCGACATTCTTGCATTTTAGGTGTCGCACTGCATGAAGTACGATATGGAGGTGAGCGGTGTTGGGAGCACAGTGGTCAAGCGGTGAGTCACCGCTCACAGCGGTTTCTTTGTCTGCTGCGATGTTGAGACGCTGTATAGTCTGTTCGAGGATCAACATGTAGGGGGCTGCAAGGCGGAGATGGCCACAAGGCGGCGAGACCTTTTCCCTTGTCTTGTGACCAGTGCCTGGTGAGTGTGCATCTGGAGGAGTAGACTTCGTTGATGCCTACCAAGAGGCTCCGTTGAATCTACCCCTCCATCATAAAACTTGCATTTGTGCAGCGACCTCCGATAAGATATCGCAAACAAGGTCAAATATGGTGTGACACACTATCTCGTGGTATCATCCTGTTACAGTAGGGATGCGACGATGTAGTCGTACCGAGTGGCAGCTGTCAGAGCCTTGTAGCTGCGTCCAACGCGAATGCTCGGAAGCAAGCTGCCAAATGCACGCTGCAAATCGTTTATCAGTGAAACACATCGCCTATTTCGACTGTCACAGATGACAGTTCGGTAAATACCATCTCGCACTAGATCTTGTGTGCCCAGCGTGCATCCCCGCGTCTGCTCCTCACGATCCATTAATTCTCCGGTTTTGATCAGCCACCGGAATTTCTCCTCCCCTCAACTATAAGCGGAAAAATTCCCAACCGAGAACAACCAAGTGTTGTATACTGTGTACACAACAACGGATTATTCCTTTTAGATGCTATTTACCATGCACCTGCCTGTCGAGTACCTAGTGACATGCAGCCAGACGCAGGGCGATTGCTGATCTCAACGGCGGTCTAGGCCGATAATTCCATGGTACATCTGCACGCTCTCAAACAACCACACTGGCGGTTGTATCTCCAGATGAGGAAAGTACATCAAGTCTGGTAGTGTGTAGGATCTGGCTCTGGATTTCCTGGCGCGGGCGTTCGAGAACTTGGGGAATTTAACTTGTGAAAGAAATCAAATTCTGAAATTATTTGAGCCGTTCGAACCGCTCAGACCGCGGCCGTGAATGGAATTTTGAATCTGTATCCACTCACCGCCACTGCACGGTGTGTGTTGAGAAGTTGCATGAAACTGAGGCTCCAACACCTGCTCCACAGCCACAGCACCCGGCCGGTTTTCGCCAGCACCCATGAATCGTGGGTTCGCAGGACGACGAAAACACATCGGATGTATCTCTCCTGAAACTCCACATCGGAGCGCTGAAATTTTTACCCTTTCAAGCATCTTTATCGTTTGGGTCCACATCGGACATTCCATGTGAAAGGGTGACGGGCTTCTAGTTGAAGGCTGTAGCCGCACCATAAGCACGATGATGCTACCGATCCACTCACGTGCATTTTCACCGAGATGAACTTCGATTACTTCGTACTGGCATGTGGATATCATAGCAGAGACTTTTTGGCGAGGGCGTCAGTTTTGCAAAAGGTGCATGAAGGAATAACGCCGTGCCGCAGAACGACGTCATAAATGAAGTTTGGTGATAGCATCCAGGCAAGTGATACGGGTGTTGACATGGGGTCAGATGGGGTCGTGATGGAGACGGCGGCACACCTGCTGCGTCGGGGTGTTGGCTGATGTCGTTTGTGGGACAAACGTCGTCATGAACAGGTGCTGTTTCGTGGGTCGGCAGACCCTGCATCTCGAAGTTTGCGCAAAACAGGCATGTGGTTCCTTGCATGCGAACTTGCAAACAAGGGAACCCTTTGTGTCAGCTAAGTAAAGTTTGTTCACAGGCGATTTGGAACCTTCCAAGCTCGGTCGCCCACCCGCATTCTGTGCAGCAATAGCGAAGGGGCTAGGAGTAGCGGCAACGTGGCCTGGATGCCCGACCGACCTTCTGACCGAGTCGGCAACTGAACCAGAACTTTACTATGGTACTGGTTTGAGGGTAAAACAGAACCTCGGCAAAGGCAATATGGATGGTTCGTTCCTCGACGCGAGGAATTGCGCACGAGCACTCTGGAACGGTAGTTCCGCATGGAAGGATGGAAGAACCTTCCATGCTAGGGCGGACGGACTCACGATCCCCAGTTTCCAGAGCAAGCACAGACAATTTCTTGCCTCCGACCCCAGATTACCGGCAGAGTGTACAGGCAAAAAACGGGTCGCGAAAACGTGGAGATGAAAGCAGGGTGCTTTATTCCAGCATTCACCCGCACGCGGCTGCACGCAATGCAAGCGACAGGGCTGATCTTTGTGCTCCGTTTCCTTTGTGATACTTGCGAATTTATAGGCACAAAGCGTTGTATTTGCGGAAACCGTTGCAGTAATGGATGCGCACGGGAGGGTGTGCTCACTGCATGCGACGCGGACATTACAGATCTCTACTCAGCCTCCCGCGCACTGCAGGTCAGCCGTGAGCATTTGGGGTTCCGTACAACGCGAACGCAACGAATTCGGAATTTGATAACGAAAGGAAGGTAGCTGGACTTTGTTCGGGGGCAGCACGGATCCGCTGCGGCTGCAAGTATGACTCCTGTAAACCGTCGCAGCGAGCGATAATGGCGGTTGAAAGAGTATACAATCCATGCCGGGCCGAGATGTACCTCGCTACAACTATTGGTGGCAATGCTACCTCGCTCCACGGGCTGTAAAGTACCTGCCGGCTATGGAAGACTACTGGTGGATGAGAGTTGTGAAGAGGACCCGCAGGCTAGAAATTGTCTCGGAGGCGACGAGTGGGGAATGTCATCCACTGGACCCTGAGATCATCTTCGCCGAATGCATGTGATGGCGACTAATGCACCCCATGTGCTTGACCGGCTAAACCTCGATGCGAAATAGGAAGTTCGTGATCAGAGGCTTTCTTCAGACTTGAGGAAGCTTTGTGGAGCGGTTCCGTTTCGAAACGGCGAGGATCTGCCTGTGGTCGGGCTGTGTGTCGGCTTCTGTGGTCGGCTAGGCGAAGGGTGGCCAACCTGCGACACTCAAATCAAGTCGTCAAACAGCCAGATGGACGGTTTGGGCAGCATCCGTAAAAACAATCGCCATTCATTTCATTATTGCACATGGCGCACGGAGAGGCGGACAGTATCCCGGGGCATGCGTTTGCATTTCCTTTTGCGGATGTCAGATGCCGCCGGATGAAAGCGTGGGGATGCCACCAAGGGTCTCCCTATTCATCCCCGAGATGATCTTCTGACACTAAGCTTACTGCATTCAGCTATGCAACGAAATCTTATCCGCATCGATACTCGCGGAGACGGGCGTGGCGTGAATGAGTCGTGGGGTGTGTAACCGCTGTCACTGTCACATCCCTTGTCCAGATGCTTTTCAAGTCTTCAGGATTGCAAAGCAACGTGTGGCTACAGTGAGGACGCCTGACAGTGACGAGGCAGGCTTGGAGAAGGCAGCGAAGCGTGCTCGCTGGCAGCCGACAGTGATTGATGGCCTTGTGGACGAGTCATCGTTGCATTTCGCATGTGCGCACGTCGATAGGGCAAGCGACCGGGCCAGCGATAGGGCAAAGGATGGGCTGCCATGTCACGGTCGAGGTGCCCCGACAGCCGGGATGAGCTCGCAGGCGCAGCGGAGCAGACGGGGCTGACGGCTAGGGTAGCCAGAAATGGCAGCCTTTGTGAAGGGGCGGTCTGAGCTGCGTGGAAGCTCCGCCAACCACAGTGCACCCCTTCCAAAGAGCGGTCGCTCACCGACTCATAACAAAAGGCAAATCATAGAGCGCCAAATAAAAGCGTTTCATGCGGACCGGAGCGAGGCGTGGAGAGTGTATTGTTTACGGCGGAAGATATATGGAACCCTCCCCACGGCCAGGCCTTCATCTGATCTTCATTCGAGACACACGCAGACACACAGCCATTGCTTCTGACTGACTCGAACTCCTGACCCTTGCTTTAGCACTGCAAGAGTGACCCCGTGGCTGTTATTTAACAGACGCCCCCGACCAGACGACCAGATCCAACGATCGCAAATCTCCCGTATCGCTTTTCGAGACGCTGCCCGACGCTATCGGAGTAGCACCCGCAACCCTGTTTTTCCAGCCAGAACCCACATCGGCGTCATACATCATCAACCCGCCCCTGCACCTCGGTCTAGTTGCCGCGACACTAAAACTGACGAAAAAATCACGAAAACACACAGCAATCTTGTAGCGCCGAAAGTGCCCGCAAGTGTGTATATACAATAGCGACCCACCCCGTACGCTATATCCAGTTCACCATATTCACCTTCACAACTATGCACTTCGAATCATCACCAGGCTCATCTCCATCAAAGTCGCTGCCCATCAGCATCTCGCCTAGAAACAACATGTCTTCACCAACTTCCTCGTTGTACAGCAACTACTCTACCGAGGCTTCATCATCTCGTGGCTCAACATGTGCTTACCCATCATGGCCTACCGGTCCATCGCTGGACCACCGCAGTGCACCATCCTCTTACATTAGCGATGCCGACCTCTTTGGTGAGGACTTTGACGACGACTTCGCCTGCCCATTCCTCGACAAGGCTCCTGCTCCACCACGCGTCTACCCCATGGCACAGGCAATGCCCGTCTTGCCACCACTGTACGCGCCCAAGAAGCCAAAGAGCGAGCGTCGCCGCAGCAGTGGCAAGCAGCGTCGCACTTCCAAGCCCATGACTCCCATCTCCGAGTCACCAGAGCAGGTTGAATGAGCGCGCAATCAAGCGATAGCATTCGTGTTATTGTAAGTTTACCGACCCGACAACAAATCGCGACGCGATACTAACAGCCCTATCAGTAACTTATCTTGACAACATCAACGTCACCATTATTAGGCGCGCGCGTTGGCATCCGTCAGCATCACGTTGGCATGGCTGAGTCACATGAGCTGTCAGTCAGTCACTTGCCACAGTCAGCCTCACTCATCATGTCCCGCACCGGGACCTGAGTATTCCGCGTCTCGCGCCTCAGCCGACCTGGCTGTCAAGTCCTATTGCATCTCACTTCAAGCACCACGAGATGTAACAGGAACGGGTGGATGCAACCTCCTCCGCATGTCAGCCTCAGTCACACTGTCATTCTTATCAACGGTGTGAACGTGGACGCCTTCGTCTCAACGTCCACCACACGACAGACAGCCTTCAAGGCGCAACACTCCCTTGCGTCGTTCGTTATGTCGTGCTTGCGCACCCGCATCCAGACCGCGTTCTTGCGCAGATCCTGGCGATCATTTGGAAAGAGGAGGAACTCCAGACTGGCTTGGAGCTGGATGAAGAAACGGATTGGAGGATAGCATTTGTGACGAAATCCTCGCTTTTGCAGGTTTCGTGGCGTTCTCTTTCTCTCGATACCCCCGCTTCCGCAAATCGGAATGCCAATTTTGTATGCGCCGCTTGTGTGCGCAAAAGGAGCGAGAGGCTTATTTGTGGCTGATAAGCTCCCTCGCTCGCCTGTTTTCCCTTTATTTGATACCCCCACCTACCAGCCTTAGCATAGCATAGCCATCGTTTAGATAGATACCCCATTTGCAGAATCTACAGCATCATGTCTTACCTCAACAATACTCCCTTACCATTTCCACACATGATAGCGCTATTCGTGATGATCATTCTAGATTAGTAGAGGTGTGTGATGAGGATGTGACGGGCGTCTTAGTCGAATTTTGAGGTGTGATTGTTGAGATGTGTGGCGCTCCAAGAGCGAGCTTCGGTAGTTGCTCCCATGTTTCTTTTGCATGCAGCGCATCTGCATCCACCCGCATTCGTGATGGGAATCGCATTCTACATGCTTGGAGTCGCGAACGAAAAAGCAATTTGCTGAACGACCAGTTGGGCGTTGTTGAAGCGACGTCACCGTGCCTTCGGTTGGATATTTGATAGTGTTCGTCGCCGAACAGCCCTACATTTTCTCAATTCGGCAATCCCTCACTTTACGCACTCTTGAATCGTGGTGAATGATCCTTTTCTTCCCGTCCCCTGTATATCGCGGGATATGCCCAAGACAAGCTTTTTCTTCTTCTCAAATCTTGCTAGGGTTGTTTTCTGGTACTCGAAGCTCTTGTACAATGTGCGGGTCCGTATATTGGCCACGCTGTATCACGGTACGGCTTGGGTGGACCCGCAGCGTTGACAGCGATGCATGCTTTGACTCACATAGAGTAGTACGCACGCTTCTGTTCAGGAACGACACGCGATTTGTGCGAAACTGCTTTGCAATTTTTGCATCCCCCGCTGTTTTCCTGCCAATGCCGTGGGGGAAGTATACAGCACTGTACTGAGAAGAGGGGCAAATGCGCGTGGCTGGTAGACGGTGTAGAAAGAACTAGGATTCAGCTCCTTAGTCGGGCGCTTCGCTTGCATCGATGAAGAAGTGCGAACAATCCATCACGGAACTAGCAATGCGTGCCCAACTTCATGACACCCACCCCCGTTCCTGCGATACCGTTGGGTATAGCTCGAACGGTGTAAGACGCTGCTGAGAGCTAATGACACGGCCTGAAGCAGTTTTGCTAAATTGTTTCTTCATGCCGAGCCGGGGCACTTGAAGAAACACGAGGTTTTTGTAGCCACTATGGACTGGCATGCATATATCACGACCGGGGAATGAAGCTCGCATGCCAGATCGGCGGAGCTTTGACTTTGCTTGAACCTGACGGGGCGGGAGTAGATCGATTGTGCTTGGTTAGCGACGTGTGCCTCTATGTTTCCTGCGTCTGCAGCGGCACGTTATGCTCTGTGCTTGGTTCAACAACAGAATCATTCCTGGGCCGTATGTAGGTCGTATGTAGGCCTCATGTAGATATCAACACATTAGTCGAGCATGGGTTGCAAGACGTTACAATGGCTCCGCGATACAAGCGGCTGGGTTCGAATATGAAGTCGGAACTACCATCTCGTGGGGTTTCCCACGTCGTGCACGAGGTTTTGATGTTTCTTCCGGGACGGGCCATGGCTTGTGCAGGATAGTCGTTCAGGGACCGTGACCTTTGTGCCACCAACTTACATATCCGCTCCCGAACACTGCGGGTTGAGTCCGTTGCGCAGAAGCTTGGGCACGATGCGCTAGCTGCGGCGACGACGCACGCTTCAGTATGCGAACGGTTGACCAAGCGGCAGGTGGAAAATTGTGAACATGTCGTGATGGCGCTACCGTCACCGTACTTTTGAGAAGAGTCATGCCAGCGTCGAGAACAGAGAGTCGTTATATGCATCGAGTCGACGAGGCATGTCGCATATTTGAGCACGTAGGGATCATCCTTTACGGGCCGGTCCAAGGCGGCCGTACCGCTTGCTGATACGCTGGTTTCGAGCGCGAAAGTGTGATGATTGTGCGGTAGGCACATGAGCTAGCCAATGAGATTCGCCAACTCGTGTGCCCCTAGGACCCCAGTCTTCCGCATCTTCGTCCCTGTGCCGTTCAGCCCTCTGAGAGGCTACTTTCCAAACCCACGCAGGCACGCCGGCGCGAACCTAACCATTAACATGCGGTGTCACCAACTTGGCTTCCAGGATTGCAGGATGCGTCTGCTTCGTTCGTCGAGTCCCCGAAGGTCCAATGTCGACCTTTCACAGTTGGCGAGCGAATGAGGCTGCTCAACCCCAGCCCGTTGACGCCTTTTCCTGCCGGGTATGCTGCTCGTTGGCTGGACGGCACCAACCGATGCTATTCGTACTATTTCGAGCGAGTATCAGTCGGGCTTTGGAGCTCTAAGCGCCGTTAGTGATAGGCGGGCGTCCACGCGCTTCAACTCACACATCGCCTGCGCAGTTGTCGCTTTTTCTCTACCTTCTCACTGTCTTGCTTGTTCGTCTGTCTCTTCAGCTGCAAGTTGTTGTACCGCCGCATAAGACGAAAAGCGGTACCCAAGTTCTGTTTAACCGCCTCAACTTTGATCCCTGTAGAGACCGGGGCGGGGCCAAAGGGTACCCTCCTCCAGACGCCGTGGAGCTGTCAGCGCATTGCTGTTTAGCGCGCTCTTGCTCTCTGCAGTGAGTTGGATTCCCCTGACGTCTTGCAGTTTCATACTCGCTTTTATGGAAGCTCCTGATTGTACTCCTGTGCTCCCAAATCGCCATTGTCTTCATCGTTATGCGCTTCGCGGGCCCTTGCGGATTTGACCCGACTGACGACCAACCCAGATCCAGCCCTCAACATGTCGACTGGACTAAGACAGCGCGCGAATTCGAACTCGATCAAAAGCAATTCGGTTCGAACCACAGACGTCAAACTCAAACCCCCAACGCCGGGTCAAGATGAATTCGCATTCGAGCCCTGTGCGGCAACCGGCTCCTTCCTGCTCTATGCGCAACGGAACGTGATCCTATGCCTCCACCACGACACTTTGGCAGTAGAAAGACGCTTTGACAGGCACCGGGAAGATGTGTCGTGGATATCAGTCGACACAACAAGCGAACGAGGAGCAGGTCGGTTGGTCGTCTCCTACGACGCCGGCTCGACTGCAATCGTTTGGGATCTGTTCACCGGCGACGAGGTGGCGAGATTTGCGTCGTACGAGCAAATTAGAGTTGCGACGTGGATGAGGAACGGGAATGTTGCTTTTGGTGAGTGTCAGGGTCTGGCAGTCGCCATTGCCTGTTTCGGTGCTAACATATGCATAGGAAATGCGCAGGGCAACATCATCCTGTTCGAGCCTTCCACCTCTGAACACCTGTCCGCGAGAACCATCTTCGACCCCATCACAGCATTAGCACCAGCTTCAGACTGCAGAACATTTGCCATTGGGTGCGTGCAGAAGAAATGACAACGCATCGGCATCACCACTGACAACTCCAGATACCTCAATGGCTCCATTCTAATTGCCACCCTGCAGCCATCCTTCACCATCCTGCACACCCTCACCACCCCGCGTAACCCATCGCCTATCGCAGGTCTAGCCTGGCATGGCTCTTCATCCAAGCAAAAGTCGGAGATGTTGGCCGCCCAAACATCAGACGGTGACCTCCGGGTATGGAGCGTGCCAAAGGCCCAGCATGGCAGCGATGCCCCTTGCGTGATTCGTGTTCTTAACCAAAAGGAACAGAGAGAACCCGGCCCCTGTTGGTTTGCATGGTCTAAGAATGGTAGAATCGTACAGTACACCGAAGGGTACGTCCCTTGCTTTGTATCCCCGATAGGTCCTTCGTACTGACACGTGACATTACAGTCAAACCTGCGCGTGGGATGTCCGCACCAAGAGAGTGTCCTATGAAACCGTGCCGACAACTGATGGCATCGCTGCCATCTGCAATTACGGCCCTACAGCCACCCTCTTCACCATTGGACGTAATTCCAGTATCCAACAATACGATATTAACCCAAGCAACGGTCCCGCCACAATGGTAGCTAACGTTCAGCATGCACCCGCCAACACACCCCCATCACCACCCAGCTCTCTCGACGAACAGAAGCAGCAAATGGAGACACCGCTGACTGCTCTCCCATCAAAGTCCAAGACAATCCCGTTGATGCTTGCCGAATCAGAAAGCAGTGCCGATGAAGGTGTTGCCATGTCGCCGCTTCAGAAGATCGCCATGGAGATGGACCAGCTCGAAGAGGAACGTCGCGATCGCGTTGGGCCCCTCAGCCCCGTGTCAAGTCGAGGCTCTCAAAGCTCCCGATCATCTGGCAGTGGTCGCGCTCCACGCTACCGATATGACAGGCCGTCGCACGGTTCGGCGTCACAGCGGTCGACTAAATCGAAGAGATCAGAAAGCTCAGGTGGCTCTGGTACCATCTTCTCGTCCGGAACATCTTCTATGGCCGGCACTTCAACGCGGGAGAGCGTTTCCATCCGATCAATCTCATCAGCTGCATCCTCGTCTCGGTACGGCTCTTCAGCTCTGCGGAAGGAAGTCCTTAGAAGTCCCGACGAATCCAAGAAGAATCAGCACATGGATCTCTTTCCTTTCACTAAAACAAGGCTTAGTGACGTACCCTTTCGCCCTACAGATCTTGGACCAGAACGTACCCCAGACGATCTTCGACTGAACATGCTCAAGGTTGTGTTCGGGTGGGAACAAGACATTGAGGATTTGGTTCAGGACGAATTGGCACGTCATCCTCCCGGGTCAGCCGCTGCCGTACTTTTGTCAAAGTGGCTCGGCGATCTTGGTGCTGACCTCATGGCTTCTATGGTTGGATCTGAGTCAATGACTTCCTCAGACTGGATGTTGCTGGCTTTGAGCAACATGGGACATGGTTCACAAAAGAAGGTCGGTGAGGCCTTCGTGCAGCGTCTTCTGGAGAAGGGCGACATCCATCCCGCCGTCGCAATCTTCCTCGGACTTGGTGAACACAATGACGCTATCGAGGTCTACGTGTCTCGAAAATACTACATGGAGGCCATTCTACTGACCTGCTTGACATTCCCAACTGACTGGCAAAGACAATCCTTCCTGGTCAGGAAATGGGGAGAGCATGCTGTATCACACGGCAAGGCAGAATTGGCAGTGCGGTGTTTCTCGTGTATGGGTCTCGAAACTACTGAGCCTTGGTTCTCGCCACGTGCGCAAGATGCAGTTTTCTCTGCGCAGAAGCAGGCACTCCTTGGCTCCCAGATGAGTCCGCCATTGTCGCCCCCTAGTGGCAGTGTTGGCAGCAGCCGAGTAGCGGCTAGGATGGCCTCGCTCAAGCTCGTCACTGACTTCACTCGCGGTCCCCAGCCTAAACAAATTGTCCGAGAAGAAGACGAGAAGACACCCATGAACGCGGGTGTCACGCCTATCGCTGAGTCAGCTATCAGTCCTGCTGTAGGCCATCACGGCTGGCTTGGCCGTGCTGCCCGCGATCCCTCCCGAGAGCCTTCTTCGGCACGAACTGCGACACCAGGTTCATACGGTAGAAAACGTTTCCCTTCGCGATCTGATACTGGCCGCAAAGCTACGAACAACGAAGTCCTCGCATCATTGGCCATCCCGGACCGAGGCCACCGTGGTGAGTCGCATCCGAGAACCGCTGTTGACAACATCGGCCGTGAAGCCGAGACGTTGCCATTCTCAACGCGCCGAGCAACAAGTGGCTCCAAAGATTTTGTTCTCTCTGCAACAACGTTCAATCCAGGGCAATCCAGCGATCATCTACCTTCACCAGCAGTAGGGGTGTTCGATGCACTCAAGGAGAAACATAGCGAGTCTCGTGGCAGCTCTCGAAGTCGGAACATTCAAGAGCTCCATCTGGACATGACAGACAATGTAGTCGAAGTCGGCCCGGAAACAGGATATACCAACAGACTTAGCCCACCTCTGACCGGAACAAGCATTAAGAGTGCTAAGGCGCGCAGCATCGACCAATACATCAGCAGCCTAGACGAAGCTAATCACTATGCGCAAAACCGCTCTAACTCGCGAAATGAGGAAAGGCCTGCTTCACGCACAGCGCGCACTCGCAGTCGCAACCGCGAAGAATCGCAGAACCGTGGGCGGTCAGGTATCCGCTACATCCGCCCTGCAAAGCGTTCTCCTTCCTCGCCTGTCCCAATGTCTCCAGAGGATGCGGGGATCTATTCTGTGAACAAGAAGGAAGCAGGGACTAGCACGGAAGATTTCGATGATGAGAGGTTCTATAAGATGAGCGTTGCTTCTCCAGTTGTTACAGAGTCTGTCGCCAGCACCCGCACCACTCGCAGCCGAGCAAGACAAGGAGTAAGCAAGACTAGGTCATCCTCCAAGACGGCTACACGCCGTAATGAGTCTCCGGAAGGAACCACGCGTGCTCGAAGCAAAGGCACCAGCCGCGCATCAAGTCGTCGCCCAGCTGAAGGTCGCGGACGAAGCGCTGTTCGGGGCGAGAACTCTCCTGTATCTCCTCAACCCATGCAACGCGACGACAATGAGGGATTTGTCGACTATGAACCTGTTCGCCCACGGCATCGCAGCGGCAGCCGCAGACCTTCAGGAAGCGGTGCAGACAGTCGCCGAGAAGCCTCCCCAGAGCGCCGTGCGCCACGAGACCGATCAATGAGTCGTAGACCTACGCCGGCTCTAAGGGAATCCAGCCGAACAAGGGGTCATGGACGGGATGCTTCTCCTGAGTCGTTGACTTCAGGACGTTCTGGTGTATCGCGTATGCGTCCTACCACAGCTTCAAGGAAGGCTTTAGCTGCCCGTGAGCTAGAAGAACGCAGACTGTCGTTGGCTCGGCGTCCATCCGCTCCACTCATCCCTCATCCTGGAGATCTCGCATTCCGACCAATCTCTCACGAGCGGTCGAACACTGATGACATGCTGAACTCAATGTCGATGTATCGTGATCCCATTCAGAGAAGCCAAACAGCGGACCCGGAGATGACTAAGAGATATTCACCTACCAACAGAATGGGCGGTGCAGGACCAACATCGACAACATCCGTACCCATTGGCCTCCCAGCGAACCCCCGCGCCATGCGTCATCCCCGATACATGACCGCCGACCCGAACGAAGAGGACGATATTCCTGCCGTGCCTACCATCCCTGACAATATGCAACACCAACAATCTCAGTCCGGCGAGACTGACGACATTGGGCCTCTCCTTCCTGCAACCACTTTTGGTCAGCCTATCGCGCCCCCCTCACGATCTGTGTCAGCACCTCCGCAAGACATACTCCCATCCAGTTCATATAACTCGCCTACCTACCCTTCCATCGGCAGACGCCCCTCTCTAGGTGGATCTCGTGGTCATGCTCGACAGAACACGATGCCCGATGTCCTTCCTCAGACCAACTACAAGCGTCACAGCCCGCCTCCAATCACAGCTAGCATCGCTGAGACGATCCACGAAAGCCAGAATCAGGACAACCAAGTCATAGTTATCGACGCAGAAGACCATGGTCGTGCACCGCCTCTACTATCTCAGCTCCAGCACCTAGCAACCCCACCGCCGCCACCTCCACCACCGCTAAACCTCGGCGGTGGCAACGGCATTGGCATGATCAACATTGCCATTGAGGGCAACAGCCCAGGCGAGAAGCCCTTGGAAGTTTCGCCCACTCAAGCTTCTGCTACTGGATCTCCACACGCTCACCGACGGGGTCGTGGCAGTGTGAGCGAAAACCTCGGTATGACATTCAAGCGCGTAACTGAACGCATGCGTAGCACCAGCCGTGGGCCCCAGCGCGCCAAATCTCCACCAGTCAACCGCGCTGAGCGGTCTCCTTACGAGAGTGTTCCTGAGTTCTCTTTCCCACGTGGACCCAACACGAGATCTCCTCCCGGTGATAACAACATGGGTAACCACCATGAGTCGTACTTCAACCAGATCCCTCCTCCGCCTCCGCCTCCACCGCAGCCTATGGAGCAGGTCATCCCTCCCACTGAGAATGGTCAGCCATTCTATAGGCATCCCAAGGAGCTGAGGGCCAACATGCCCCCCAATACGTTACAAGCTGGCGTATACCAGAGCGGCGAGCACACACCCATGATCTAGGCTCTCGATTTCGAGTAGCCAATTCTGCACACACCATGTACAACTGAGACGGCCTATACATTACGACATCTTCGCATCCTTCTCCACCATCCTTGGCAACATATCCGTTGTTATACTTCATCACCATTTCATTTAGCATCTTTTTTACCGAGCGTGTTTTTTTTTATCGCGTTGCTTTATTTGTTTCTTGTTTCAGAGTACCATTTAGCGGGTCATTGTATCTTGAAACCAAAGACTTGGATCTGGGAAAACTATCTCCACCTGTTCTCCATACGCTTCGCGGCGGACATTGTCGATACCCTTTTTTTGTTTTTGTTCGCTGAGGGAACTCGGTTATATAGCTTATCTTTCTTGTGGGTAGTTGATTGAGGCATTTGGTTTTTTTTTTGCATCCGCAGGGTAGGGGTATTCGCATCGGGTTGGTTTGAAAGGGGAGGGTAAACCGGGGTAAATGTATCTGACGACGACGACGACGGAGCAGAAAGCAGTTGGTTAGATGGGGGTAAAAGAGCTGGAAATCTTTCATCTTCAAACGTTAATGTACATGCTTCATGATTGCGCTTCTTCTCTTTCTTGATGCCTGCTACATTGCTGCTGCTGCTGTTGCTATCTTGTGTCTTTTGTGTTCTTTCCATCTCTTGCTACATCCCCTGCACCCTACGGATCCAAAGCGCCCAAATCACTGTTTCCACGAAATTGCCTACTCCACTCTGAAACGTCATGTCCATTTCCTTTACCATATACCAAAGACAACCGCCTCACGGCACCAAAAGCTCGATTTCACATGGGAGCCATTAGGTTACCCTGATTGTCTGTTTTCCTTACAACACTCCTTCATGTTACTGGTAAGAGGGCTGGTGTAATAAGGACACGTTTTAGTCTAGTCAAATTTGAACTGAATCCACTCTCTACTCTATTGTGCGCAACATGTGTGACCTTGCTATAGACCAAGCGCACAGGTTTGGAGTACTCGTAGCACCACGAGCATGGAGCGGAAATACAAAGAAAACTTGCCTGCAAGGGTGATTTCAACAATACTCTATAAGAAGGGGAAACATGACCGAAAGCACGAGTTGCCTTACGGCCGGAGACACACAAACGAGCACGTTTTATTGATGAAGAAACCAACAGAGGGAAGTAGATATGCACGTCTCATCTTCATATCTTCTGCTACCTCGCTAAGCTTCTATCATGCTAACCTCTTACTACATCCTATTGCCTCATACTCATGTCCATGCAGTAGACGCGCGGTATCACATACTCTCAGGTTATATCACAATGCCTCCTGATTGATCCATCTGCGACGCCATATACATGTCTCGTATGCCGCGGTCTCTGTTGTCGATAATAGGAAGGCCATGTAAGACGAACAGTGAGCATAGACATATTGTAGCGTATTCAATGTCGTTGGTACTGCGATACAGGCGGCGATCGTATCTGACGGCACTGTCGTCAAAGTGCTAATGTTTCATGTCTGATACACATGACCATCATTCCGTTCACGTAGCAGTGTTAGCATTGGCAACAGGTGCCGGAACTGAAGCCGACGCAGCAGCAGCAGGTGCATTAGAAGTAGCCTCGCCAGCACCTCCAGCATTCACAGGACCAGCATGCCCTCCCCTAGCACCACCTCTACCGCCACGTCCGCCCCTCGGTCCAAAGCCTCCCCTTGCACCGCCACGAGCAGGTCCAGTCGGGGGTCCGTTAAATCTTGGGTTTGGGCCCCTAGCAACTTTTTCTTTACGCTCAAGAACCTGCACAGCGCCTTGAGCAATCTTGATAGGACTGGCAGCCATGGCTTTGCGTAGACCCTCTGGCTCAGCAAAGTCGACGTAGGCGAAGCCCTTGCGCTTGTCGATTTCCACTTTATCGATGCCGCCGAATGTCTTCATGACTTCTTCAATGAGGGGTTCGGTAATGCCTTGGCTGGGGTTGGCGTGCTTGAGGAAGGCTTGCTTGCTTGTAGGTGCAGGCACGGGATTAGCTGGCGCTGCTTTTGAGGCATTGTTATGTGCTTGCGCAGGTGCAGTCTCGGTCTTGGCAGGAGCAGCGTGCGATTGTGTTGGGGCGGGACTGTTTCGGGCAGCAGCAGGCTCGGTTGGTGGTACCCGCGAGGCAGCTGGGCCTTTGGGAGGGTTTGGTGTTTGAGGCTTCTTGAGAATCTGAGGCGCAGGGGTCTTGAGTGGTGTCTGTGGCTTCACATCGCTGGTAGTGGCCTTGTCACTGGATTTGTCGCCCTGATTGGCCTTGAATGCGCGCCGTTCCGCTCGAGTTGGGCGTTCTTTTCTGCTTGTTTGTGAAGTCTTGTCTGGAGTTGATGCAGCTGGTGGCGCGACAGGCGCTTCCTTGGCCTTTTCATCCACTGCCTTGGTCTCCTTTGCTTGAGCGTTCGCATCGGGCGCAGCTGCACCAACCTCGCGCTTCGTTCCGCGTCGACGGTTGGGAGCAGGCCCTACACCAAGGTCACGCTGCAACATGGACTTTGCGAGTGCGACGTTGCCGCGCTTGCGCTCTGGTGCCGGACTGGCAGAAGACTTGTCTGCCGTCCCAGCAGTTGCCTTGGAGGACGATGCTTCCTTGTTAAGGACCTTGACGGCCTCTTTGGTTGCTTGAGCCTTGTCAGCCTTGCTCATTCGACGATTCTTGTCATTCGAGTTGAGGGCGTTCTCCTTGCCTGGCTTGGCGAGGATCTTCTTCTCACCACCATCGTCCTTGGCCTCTCCACGCCCTCTGTTGCCCTTTGCGCTCGGTTTATCCCGGTTGGCCTTCTTCTCCCGGAGCGCTTCGATCAGAGGCGTGGTCTTAACCTTCTCCTTCTGGCCTTCATTCTCGGCAGCAGGAGGCTTAGTAATGGGGTTCGTGAGGCTCTCGAGGAAATCCTTGAAATCCTGATCCTGGTCGATGGTGCCCTGGCGGTTGTCGTTCCTTCGGCGACCCCCAGGCATCTTCGGGTAGGGAGCGTACTCGAGCGTGGGGGGTCCGACGAGGGCGGGGTCCTGCCATGATTTGGTCGCATCGTGGAAAGTGACTGTGCGCACGTGGTCGCCGAGTGCCTTGACATGGTCCTGTTTCGTAACGTGGATGTATACGCGCGCTGGCTTGGACGGTTTGGCGGCACTGAGGTGGTCAACATACTGCCCAAGCAAACAAGTCAGAAGGGACATACTCGGTCGATATCTTGCCTTTCCTGTAGTTGATCCAATCAATCTTGCCAGCACCCAGTTTCCATTCGTCACCCAGGGCCTCAACAAACTCGGCCTTGGTGAGGCCTGGAGGCAATCGCCGACATATCAGCTTCAGGCGGGGCTGAGCAGCCTTTGGGCCGCGGGACGTCTGGGCTTGGGGGTTCTTCTGGAGGAGTGTGACGGGTAGGACGCCGTTGGGATTGGTCTGAGGAGGGGCCATGGAGGGCGCGATTGTTCTTGTGCGGGTTGAGTTTGTATACAGCTAGACGGGTTGCAGCCCTGGTGTATGAGTTAGTACTGGATGTTGTGAGACACAGTATGCTGTATACCGTAGGTGAATGCAATGTAGCCCCCGGCCGTGTGAATTATCTCAACTGTCGTTGAGTTGGGGCGAGGTGGAGGAGAGAGCGACAGTTGGTTTGGGTGAACATGAGAGATATCAGGCAGGAAGGCAGTACCAAGCGCGGCGACTGTTTTCGATACTCTGTGAGACACGGCGACTTTGGCAATGACGCAGCGACAATGGGCGCGCCTTCACGAGGCAGTGGGCAAGGGCAGGCGCGAACGGCAAGCGCCGAGGGGCGGCAGCTGCCCCACCGAAACCCGCACCTCAACTGCACCTCAACCACGACGGCACATGCCCAATCCCCGCCCTCTCTAGCTGCAGACGACATAGCTTCCTCTCACCCACTATCTTTGCTTTTACTGCCAGTCACCTTGACCCATGATACCCTACAGCCGACGCCTCAGCACCGCCATCGTCACACGACCAACCTCCTTCCCGCCGCCATTGTCGCCCTCCTGCATCTAAACGCACCGCATCGAGCCCTTCTCGTTGACTCTGAGCTCGACGAAGATTGAAACATGGGGAAAGATAGCGACGTTCCACAGCCAGGGCCTGCGCGCCTCGCAAAGGGCGCAGGACCCGATGAATGGCTGGAGCAAGCCAAGCAATGCAAGTACTTGCCCGAGGCAGACATGAAGCGACTATGTGAGATTGTCAAAGAATGTCTTATGGAAGGTATGTGATTCGGAATATCAAGACTGCCATGTCAGAAGGAAGAAGAGAAGGTTAGACGGTGAATAGCGCGTGTCTTGAACCGTACCTGGAACCAAACAGGAGACTAACGCCATCCATCAGAATCCAACATCCAACCCGTAAGAACACCTGTCACGGTATGCGGAGACATCCACGGCCAATTCTATGACCTTCTCGAGCTCTTCCGTGTCGCTGGTGGCATGCCCAACGACTCCCCTGCCGCACCCCTCGCGCCGCCAGTCACATTACCAAGCACAATTAACCCCGCCGATCTCGAGCCTCCCACAAGCATAACAGATCCCAAAGTAAAGCGCAAGATGAAGAGGCGGTTCCAGCGCGACCCCAATTACACCGGGCCTACGAGTCCTCCTGGCGGTGATGGCGATGAAGAAGGCGATGACGATGAGGAGGAGGAACGAGGTCGAAGCAGGAGCGTCCACGACAGGCGGAGTATCGGATCCGCATCCGACGCAGACTCGGCCAAAAACACAGTTGGCGGAAACGGCCAGCAGAATTTCATCTTCTTGGGTGACTTTGTCGACCGAGGATATTTCAGTCTGGAGACTTTCACTCTTCTCATGTGCTTGAAGGCAAAGTATGCATACGAACTCGGAATAGCACATTATAGATACTGACAGCGATAGATTCCCAGACCGCGTCACATTGGTCCGTGGAAACCACGAATCGCGACAAATTACCCAAGTCTACGGTTTCTACGAGGAGTGCCAAACCAAGTACGGCAACGCTTCAGTATGGAAGGCCTGCTGTCAAGTCTTCGACTTCCTCGCTCTGGCTGCCATCGTCGATGGAAAGGTGCTTTGCGTACACGGCGGTCTGAGTCCTGAAATTCGGACATTGGATCAAATCCGCGTCGTAGCCCGCGCCCAGGAGATCCCCCACGAGGGAGCCTTCTGCGATCTTGTGTGGAGTGATCCTGAAGACGTAGACACTTGGGCAGTCTCGCCTAGAGGTGCAGGTTGGCTGTTCGGAGACAAGGTGTCTTCTGAAGTATGCATCCACCACGTTTCTCCCCTCATCCTCCAGCTAACATATTGTTACAGTTTAACCACGTCAACGGTCTCCAGCTCATCGCCCGAGCCCATCAATTAGTCAACGAAGGCTACAAATACCACTTCAAAGACAAGGACGTTGTGACCGTCTGGTCAGCACCCAACTACTGCTACCGCTGCGGAAACGTCGCTTCCATCATGAACCTGGGCGAGGACCTTAAGCCAGAATTCCAAATCTTCAGTGCTGTTCCGGACCATAAGCGTGCTGTCCCAGCTGGGAGGGGAGGTCGCGGAGAGTACTTCTTGTAAACAGCGTGTGGTGGTGTTTGCTTGTGGATAAGGGAAATGGAAAAGGTCGCTGGTGCACGACGAGACGGGCGGATGTGTGTGTATATGCATTCTTACGATATGATGGAGAAGTGGAGACTTGAATGAATACCCCTGGGAAGATGAACGACCGGAATGGAATGTATATGGATTTTGAACATGGCTTGTACGATATGCGCGTTGACGGAGTCTTGTTGGTAGTAGTAGTAGTATAAACGGTATGAATACGTTTCGCGTGAGTTCTCGTTCTTGCCCAAATTGATGGTTTTATCGGCAGTTCTGCTTCCATTCTATTTTCAAGTCTCTTCAGTGTCCAACATCCTTTCTCGTGACAAGTTCGGCACGTATCGCTTTGATGCAGTAGGTATCTTGCCAACGACAGCTCGGCCCGGAGTAGCTTCCAGGACTATCCACAATGAAGAAACGTTCTTTCAGTACAGTCCAAACATCAACTTCTTGACGGGAACATCCCATCAGTTGCCGTGGGCAGCAGCATATAGCGAACGGCTGTATACAACAGTAGAGTAGTGCGTGTATCTCAAAGGATGACTTGATACTCCTTGTGATAATTGTGCGACCATGAGGCAAATCGTATGGACGAATCCTATTTTTCTTCACTGTAGTTTCAATAGAAATAGCAGTTGGTGAGCGGTAAAGAAGACAGGATCCCGTGATCTCGGCCATATTTGTATTATGTAGGTGATTTACCACCATTATGACCAGTGAGGAACAGTGAATGCGTCGTTTTGTCTGACCAATTCCCGATTAGGCTGATGCATTCGAACGCTGACTCCCAATAGAAACAACCGAGGACATGAGTTCATCATGAGCGATTGCTTTTGATCCTGTCCATGGAGAGTATTGAAGGAAGAAATCCACCCGGAAATTATCCTTAACCATGTAGAGCTCAACAGAGTCTTTCAAAAGGTCCAGCTGAGGCGATTTCGTTAGGACGTTTTCCCATGAAATGCCTTCTATCCGCGTTCTGCCTTGGAACAACAGATCCCTAATTCGAACAGCGTCGCTCGACCGGAAGACATGCAGCTTACGCTCATCACGTCTGATGATAACAACTATCTCCTCTCGGTATCCGTAGGCCCATAGAGAAAACTCTACTGCTAGCACCATAGGAAAATCCGCAATGCGACTGGGTGCGGCAAGGAAACAGTTATCCACATGATCCCAGAATACCGATGGTACGGCAGAGATCATGTCCAAACGGCTTTGCTCGGGAATGTGAACACCGGGTCCGCGACTGAGGCTGAGAGCACGACGTATCCCGCTGTCGTCTACATTCGTGGCAATATAAACCATCTCTTGATCTTCTTCGATTGTGTTGTAGATTATTCTGGAGTTTGTAAAGGGGATGCGGCCAAGGCGGCAATATGAACTTGGTCCTAGCTTTCGAAGAAAGATGCCTGTAGAATTTAGACTATGGGGCATAGAGAGCATATATTGTCTCGAAGGCGGGTTGCCATCAATCCTGCATAAGCCGGATACCAGTTCAAAGCCGTCTTTGAGGAAAAGTCCTTTGTTTGTGAGGGAGAATTCGGGGTTGGCATCATTGTATAGGAGAAGCGTGATGTCTGCACTGTTTGCAAATTGTACTGGTGACTTCGCGAGAATTCCGACATATGTTGGAACATTAGCAGAATTTCCCAAAGCAGCGTCCCACATAAATATGGTAAGGTCGTTGCTGTGCTTGATGATTTCTTCCTGTAAGCGTCGAAACGCCTTTTCTCCTTCCCCATAGATCAAAGGCATACTAACATCAAATATGCCAAGGAGGCAGTATGCTATGTCCTCTTTCCGTTTTGTTTGTCGATTTGACGCCCATGACATCCGTTCGGCAATAGGCACTCTTAAAATGTCCGTTTTGTTGAGTAGAACCTCTGTAGGTATGCGAGTGAGCTGGGAAATGGCCACAGCATGATCGGACTTGGTGCCTACGTATACCCAAGCTTTATTGAAGATTTCCACTAGCTTTGGCGCAAGCAGCTCTTGTAGTGTCCAGCCTCTGGTGAACCAGCGGCATCTCGAGAATCCATCCCCCAGCGCAACATCAAGCGCAGTACCTGAAGCAAGGTCTTCAAGTAGAACGCAACAGACAACTGCTTTCTTATACCATTGAAACATGGAATTGATCGACTCTGTCAACTCAGCGCTGCTTGATTTGTCAACTACAGCAGGTAGCCAACCGGTCAGCAAATATCGACACACCGATCTCTGCTCAATACTCTTTTTACGAAGAATCATACTCACTACTTAAAGTTAGTGAGCCAGACCAAGTCGGGGTTTAAAATTTCGAACCTGCAGCATGTATCAACCCAGAAATGTTTCAGATTATCCGAGGCTGCCTGCCTTGCACAGAATGCGATCTTGCCACGACCCCGCTTCTGTATACCGGTTCCCTCAACGAGATCACGATAGCTGACCTCCTCGTTATCAGGGCCCCAGGTGTGTGAGAGGATAGCGTATGGTGGAGTGTCATCCTCGAAGAATTCCACCAGGCTGAGGTTGCCATCGTCTTGAATGTGCAAGAGGCGCATCGAACCTCTTGGTACATGTATAGATAGCAAGGAGAACGACCATCAGTCAAGTATGTAGTAAATGATCATAGATTGAGCATCTAGTAGGAACGCTGCAGTTTCGCGCAAGACGTAAAGTGAGAAACACGAGACAATTTAAGCGCTTCGGTTGAGGGAGGGGCATGAACGCTCAAGGCTGAGTCCATGATCACGTGGCGAATGATGCTGATCCCAGAAAGTTCTGGGATAGGCAAAGCGAAAATGCGAATTATTAAATCTAGTTCCCTTGATAAAATTAACAATCAGGGCTGTGCCGTGCATCTACGAGCCTTCGCAGCCGCGCAGCAATATCTAATGCTCCTCAAAGCTCGCTCTTCCATGAATGATCCTCTGGTAAGCCCAACTGCCTTCGCTGAGCATTCAAGATATGCTGCAAGAACACTGGCTTAATGCTCAGCACACCAACAAGACTCAACAACAACATCAATACAACACCCAGGCCCACACCTAGGGCAACAGCATCCTGCTGCCTGCTCACTTTCCTAAACCACGCCTTGGTGTCCTCCAGCGCGATATTCTCATCGTGAGACCTTCGCGCACTCATCATGCCCGGAAGCCCATCAAGCGATCGATGATTGTACTGTTTCTGGTAGTCGGCAAGCTCTTGCTTCTCCAGCGTCTTGCGCGCCCAATTATCCATGGTGTCACGCTGCTTGAAACCATTCTCTTCTTCCTTGTCATGGTCGTGGTCCACATAGGTGATAGCGTCACCTGCTGCTTCCTCCGTGTCCACGGGCTTGCCGCCTGCGAGCTGAGGCACGCCGAATCCGCAGCTGGTCTGAACTTTTTGGATCTTCAACACGATAATGGCACGCGCACCGGTGATGTCGACCGATTCGCCATTCTCTGCTGCCATCTTTGCGCGCAATTGGCCATAGTACGGATCCCATTTTTCGACTACACGTCCTTTGCAGAACAGACGCATAATCTGGGGAGAGGGACCAAAGGAGGAGAACATTACGGTGACACGGCCATTTTCGTAGACGTGGGAGATGGTTTCACAGCCGCTGCCGGTTGCGTCTAGGTAGGCGACGGTCTTCGGGCCGAGGACAGAAAAGGTTCTTGACGGATGGCCTTTGGGTGAGATGTTGATGTGATCTCCGGCCCAGGGAGCACTGGCGACGAAGAACAGAGATTGGCGGGAGATGAAATCGATGTGGTCCTCCGTGAGAGAAGGGTAGAATTTGACCATGTTGAAAGAACTGGGTATGAAAGCAAGTAGCGGTCAAGGTTGAAACTCTTCGTCTTTGGAATGCGATATGAAAGGAAGTAGCCAGCGAAAGTCTTGCTTTGGATGAACCGATATGTGCAGGAAAGATCGATGCAAGTAAAAGGATTTGTTTGGAAACTGCGTCGGATAGTCCTCTCGTTGGGGATAAGGAGACTGAAGATTTAGGGCCGGACTTCGATAATGAATTGGTGGACGGGTATGATGACAATAGTTACAAACAAAACCTCAGTAAGATGAGAAATATGCGAATCCGGTAATATACAAGTTGTGTATGTTTGTAGATAAGCAAATGCGGTATTAAGATTTGGACTGCAAGAAAGCTGCAATGCACGGTAACGCCGCCTTGCCCCATCAGTATTAGCTTAAAGGCAGCTGGAAGGCTAGTGGGGGCGGGGCGCATCATCCAGAGACGCAGCGAGTTGCGACACAAGCTTTGTAACGCCTATAGCAATTCTCAACATGGTGCTCGCACTAGCATTGAAGGCCGAATTGAACGGGTGAGTGTCTTGTGCCCCCTTCCAGGACTTGGTTAATAGCGATTAGAGTCACCGACCTCCGCCCAAACGACACGGAAGACGCGCCCTTTTTCTACACTTTCAAAGTCCAATGCACGTCATGTCGCGAAGTACACCCCAACCCCGTCTCGGTAAACCGCTTCGAGATGAACGAGCAAAGCGGCAGCAAGGGTGAAGCCAACTTTGTCTGGAGGTGTAAGAACTGTAAGGTCTTTCTGCCCTACACCCTCTTCTCCACGTCCAACCGCTGACATGGCCTGTAGAGAGAACACTCAGCGAACATCAAGGCCGCACCCGCATCCTACCCACAAAGCGACCCGCCCAAGAAGATCAACATCCTCGAGTTTGACTGCAGAGGCCTGGAATTCGTCGAATTTAAGGCTGAAGGAGAGTTCCTTGCGACGGGCATAGAATCTGGCACCAAATTCTCGGGCATCGAGCTGCCCGATGGCGAATGGTACGACTACGACGAGAAGGCTGGCGAGGAAGTCAGCATCACAAATGTCGAGTGGGAGATACGTCGCGCATAGCATGTGCCCAGTAGTGTAAGGTGAAGGAACGTGCCACGAGGCTTCAAGAAGGGCACAGTATGTGTTACCTGAGCGAGCTCATGCATGAAGTGCATGAGAAGGAGAGAGGACATGGGAAGTCACCATGACGAGACGTTATCCAAGTGTGCATATGCACATGTGAGGTGAAGAGGATGCGAGTGCTGATCACATATATGAATGGACACATTCGTCAAGACAGACTTCTACCAGTACCACTAATCCAACATGATCCGCAGCTCAATTCATGCTCTGATGCCTCCAGCGAAACCTCCGTTTCTATACGAGTACCCAAGCTCAAGGCTTCCAGCCTCCCGTTCTCGACCTGAACAAGCCCCTTGGATCAACCTCATCCGCGACCCTCTTCGCCAACGCGCGACTCTCAGGCCTCAGTCTCCCAAAGTAGTCCTGCCGAAAGAATCCATAGTTCATAAAGATCGGCAGATATGCTTGCGGCAACTTGTCCTCTGCTTGCCACGTCAAAACTCTGTCTCTCACGCCCGAATAGGTAGCTTCCATTGTATCGGCCATCTCCTCATATAGTGACTGCGGTGTGAACGCATAGTTCATCTCGATGATGATGCGGTCTACATCTGCATCGGCATCGATCAGGTCGGGGCTGAGTTTTCTTGCCTTTTGCGCAATCTTCTTGGGAAAAGGCTGCCATGCGATGGACGCCACGATACCAGGTACGAGAAGTGTGGTTCCGGAGACGTTTCTCCAGTGATCATGCAGACCCTCCATGACCTCGACGGCGTTCGCACTAGACGGCAAGGGGATTGTCTCTGTGGCGATGTCTACAACGTTGCCTTTGATCACGACCCAGTTACTCAATGCCATGAGATCGGCGTAGGTGCGTGTTCGTGTGGTATCGAGAAGAGGATTGACATCGGTAAAGTTCTTGAATAACCCAGCTGGAGGCGTCGGACCATCGTAGAAGAGAAAGATGATCCACGAGTCGACTATGTTGATATTGGCTCGCTCTGCTGTTACTATCACAGCAGCCTTTTCGTCCTCGTTGTACTCTGTCCAATCGCGAACGGCCTGGAGGAGCTGCTTGTCCTTGTTTGGCGTGCGCAGGTACACCAGGTTGCCACCCCAGATGTCGCCCTGTCGATGAGCTTGCAACTTGTAATTTGTTACTACACCAAAATTGTTACCGCCTCCCTTCAGAGCGACGAAAAGGTTGGGGTGGTTGTCGTTCCTGATGTGACCGATTGTGCCATTGGCGAAGACCATCTCGTACTCGAGCACGCTTGAAGCAGCCCATCCATACTGCGTCGACATGTAGCTGAGTCCTCCGCCGAGCACTAGCCCACCAACTCCAGTGTTCCCAATGCGACCACCGACAAAGGTCCAGCCTGTGCCTTGCAGTTTGGAAGCGATGCCGTCGAGCCGATTACCAGGACCTACGTCGACGATACCCGTGCTGCGATCGAGCTTGGCCTGATCGAAGTGCTCCATAGCGATGAGTGGGCCTCCGGCAACACTGCTCCATCCATTGTTGGGATTGTGGCCTCCGGATTTGACGGCAAAAGGTTCGGTGGTGTTGGCGAGGATTCGTACCACCGTTGAAACTTCTTCTACTGTTTTTGGGAAGATGATGCATGATGGGAGGAGGGCAGAGCATGAAGTTGACCAGTACTGAGTTTGCTCTTCGATATAGGCCAAGTTTAGAGCATAGGTGACGTTGATGTAACCCAGAGAAGCAACGGATGAACAAGTATCGCCATAGGCCAAAGATGAAAACAGCAATGTAGCGATGAGATGAACAATTAAGCGCAACATGGTGGACCGAAGACGAATGGCTTGATCGTGATACCGTCAGCATCATCGTGAATTGCCGTTCGATTTATACCCGTCACCAAGGTAATACAGCTGTTGATGACGTCGTGCGGAATACCTTGGAGATGGAGAATCTGATGTGCTCAAAGTTGTGCCTGTGCGTGAAACCACGACCAGGTAAGCTCCACGTCCAAGAAATGTCCGGTGGGATATGTCAAGCTGTATGAACGACGATCATAGCCATAGCTGTCATACCAAGAGTTTTTCAAGATAGTCAGCAACATCACTTGCTCAAAGGGGCAATGAAATTGGGACCAAATGCTTGCATTGTACTACGATCAAGGCGGGGTATCGCAAAGGATATGTTGAGCTGGAATATCGTCCTTCTATGCATGACCTCTTCCCTCTCGTGTCTCATTCGTGTATGTTCAAAACGACCATTACCCATGATTGGCGCATCTTTCTTTGCCCCCTGATGGACTTCTCGAGTCAAGCAAGAGCATCTGCAACTCCGCTTACACAGGAGGTTTGAATTACCGATGCCGGCTGCAGTTGGTAGCCTTGATCGAGGATTCGCAACGGGATCTGGAAGACCCCAAGAATCGTCGAACCGAACGAGAAGTATGGAGGGTCGCGTGTCAAATAATTGTTGTCTTGGTCCTCGTTCTCGTAATGTTGTTGTATAGGCTGAATACGTGCAAGCTCGCTTCGCTGCAGGCTGTCACACCCAGAAGGCATACCCGCTGCAGCTGCAGCGCTCGATACGAGATTTAGAGTAACACGAAATCAATTTCAGGACCTGCATTCATTAGCGTAGAATAGACTGTCCAAAAGCGGAGCACTTATGAAAAAAGAGTTTGACCATCCCGAAGGACGGTCAGGAAACCACCCACAGCAACTCCATACTACGCCCTCCCGTTTTCGCACCAATGACACCACAAAAGCCCACGCCGGTAAACAGGCGACGATGCATCCAAGACTATGGCCAAGAGAGCATTGCGAAGAAGAGTGGAGATATGACCGTGAAGTCTAGCTGGATGGAGGAACGAAATACCTGCAGAAACTTGTCGCAGAAGATGACGACAGACAGGTCTAGACCTTGAGCCTCACTCTAGAGAGGTCCTGTCTCCATCTACTGGTTCGAGAAATATTGCGTTGTGGCATTCAGTGTCCACCAGCGTCCTGTCATCAGTCCTCCTATCTTTCCTGCGAAGCTCTCTTTTCGTATGGTCAAGCCTGAGAAAGCAGATCGATGTAGCCGAGTTTGTGGGTCTTGTAAATGCCATTGAGTTTCCACAGAAGGCGCCGTCGCATCTCCAACGATAACAGTTCTTCTCATCGTCGCAAGATCTTCTTTTCCGTGTTCCAAGCTGCTTCAGCAACAAGGTCCTAGTCAGTTTCGCACAGCAGCCACGCAACACTGACCATTGGACGCATTCATCGTTGGGTGTCAAGCCAAGATGCTTCTCTCTGATTGTGGTAGCATGAATTCCTGAGACTAGTCTTTGTTTCCTCTTCGCTTCCATCAGGAACGAATGGCATGATGATACGGACAAAGGACATCCTCAAAAGCCGCATGATCGATCGCAACAGCGAGAGAACTGTTCGGTCGGATGGGTAGACGCTCGTCAACTCACACGTAGGCTGAACATACGTGTTGACAATTAACGCGACTGGTCAGATATCACTCTAGAGTGACGAGTGCCGAACAAATAAAACGTGCACCGGCTTCGGAACGCAGCAGAAAACGGCAGAGGTTGGAGATCTGATCAGGACTTTCGTCCTCGTGGGTAAGATGCACGGATAATCCGTCGCCGTGTACTAGTCGAGCTCGAAACGATTGTCGCACAGTGCGAACGCTACGTACTTGATCCAGCGCATGTAGACCCAACAGAATATTCGTGCGCGAAACTTCAAGACATCAGATCCGGAGCGTGACGGTCCGCCAAATTTGACAATACCAACCTGCGGCGTATTGAGACCTCGCTGGGCTTTCTGTCGTGTGTTCCACGAGACTGCCTTTCCGACGAGTGGATCTCACGCCAGCCGAGACCGAACAGGTTGGTACGTCTGTGTGTTAGGCTCGAACAATGCCGAGACCGCGCTCTTCTTCTGTCTGGTTGCTGTGCGTGCGGTGTCTGTTGAATACATGTGATCGTTGGCATCAAGCCTTGCAGCTCCCGTACGACCCTCGGAAACGAGAGATAGTGTTTCGGCGCGATGATTGAACACAAAGTCGATCCTCACGAGAGGCGACCGGCATCTTACTTCTGAGCTCTCCTCTTCGCGTTATCGCATTTGTTGTGAAGCTATCTTTCGTGACCAGAGTCTGTTGTACAGATGAGATGCCGACGTGGTCCTCGTAGGAGGACTTTAATACCCCGACAGGCACATGTCATCTCAATTTGAGCTCTCGCTCCCGTACCTCGAGCCTCCCTTTTGCACACAAGCAAGACGGTCCACGTGAGCAGACCTATATGCAGAGGCTAATTGGGAGG